GTCACCAATTCCTTCTGAGTTCCACATTTTGACTGAGGAAAAATTGGACCATCAGTCCTGATGAATGAGTTGCCATGATCTTTCCAAAGGTTGCCATGCCTAGAAACAACCCAATTTAGTGCTTCTTAAAGATATCAAAGGCGGGGGGAACAAAAAACCCATCAACCACTGTTACCCAGAAACCTGATACAAGAAAGTATCTGATGTGTGTAAAAAAATCCAGTCTGATAGATGACTATACCCTCTGGCTATGAGTTATAAGAGCTATAGACACAAAAAATAAATGCCCCCTCCATCTGCAAGACACAAAGAAATCTGACTACCCAGTACCACTTCAATCTGAATTTCTCCTTGTCCTGTCAGGCCTGGATGGATAGGACAGACTGAGCTCTATCAAATTGGGCCCCTGAGAGCCTGAGGTCATTGCAAAAGTTAGGGGTAAACCTGACTTTCCTGGGAGACAGTAGAACAGAACTCTCTGCCTTCAAAACTTCCCTCTGTCAAAAAGTTACCATCACTGGGGCAACTAGGACTCTTGGCCTCTCATCCCTTCTGCCAGGAGCAAATTTGTGTCCTGGGAGGACATCTCACCAAACATGAATTCCTGTATAAGCTGGTCTCCATACAGCTTCTGGGAAGAGACCTCCTCTTCAAGTTAGAAGAGGATTTCCTTTGCACCAAGCCAGTCAGCCTCCCTCTCATTTAATCGGCACCTGCAACTATGACTGTTCCACAAGAGGAAGATGACACCTGCATCAGCCTGAGATGGATAACTGCAATCCTGAAGTTCTGAAAACTCACCTTCCAGAGGTGTGGACTAAAGACTCATCTTTGGGCCTGATCATCAACCCTGCTGCCTCACCTTGAATACCTTTGCTGTCAGATGTCATGGGAAGCACAAACATGCATCCAGCCCCACATCAGCCTGATAGACTGATCAAGATCTCTGTGCTGTCAACAACATAGCCATCACCTTCCACTCTGTGGTTCCCAACCCATACACACTCTTTGGACTGTTACTCAATTGTCACAAAGGTTTGGCCACTCTCCCACTATTTGGGGGGAGGCCCCAGCAATAGATTTGGCTCTGAGACAGCCTGTCTCTGTTCCTTCCAGCTCTGTCATGGGCCCCTGAGAAAGAAAAAAATGAGGCTTCAAATCTGTAAAATGTCTCTAGACTGTCAAACTGCTAAAATATACCTCTCCTGCCTGCAAAGCCAGTTTGAGATCTCTGATCTGCCAAAGCCACTGTGACTAGTCTCCATATACAGTGCCTCAGCCTTCTGCCACCCACAACCTACTGGTACAACTGCTTGGACCTAAAGAATGCCTTCTGCCTTTGATAAGCTCTTGTCAGCCAGCCCCTCTTCACCTTTAAATGGAAAGACCCCAGTTTTGGATTCAAAAGTCAATTGATATGGACTCAACCTCCCAGAGGTTCAAAACTTGTTTGCCCTCTTTGGAGAAGCCTCACAGCTGACCTTGCTGGTTTCTCAGAATGAAATATCACTGCATTTCTGATTAATGACAGCCAAGATGTCTGCTGGAATGCACAAAAGCTCTGCTGCAATATCTGGCAGCAACTGGCTACAAGAAAGAAACTCTGAAAATTTCTTGGAGCTGCTGGCTTCTACAGAATCTGGATCCTTGACCTCACAAAAACAATAATGCTTACTTAGATTGCCAGCCCCTAGAAGTGCCCAGTGGCCTATATGTACAAATACTTGAATCTAGTTGCTAAGGCCTGGATCCCTGCTTTACCTTTGCACTCTAATAGCCACTGTCCTGATCAAGAAAACTGACAAGCTCACCTTAGGCCAAAGACAGCTTAACTGGCCATGTGTCACATGCTGTACTGGACCTCCTAAATAACTATGGACCACTCAATACTGCCATGTACTTGCCCACCAAGCTGGGCCCACCAGACCATGACTGAAAAATAAACCTCCTGACAGATGTTGAGTACATCCTGTTTATAGATGGAAGTAGCTCTATTAGGAATGGAGTCCAACAGGCTAGATATGCTGTGATCACCTTGGATAAAGTTATTTTGGCCAAAGCTCTCCTGCTACTGCTTCCTGTTGCTGTTTTTGAAACCTGCCACCAATGACACCAAGCCTGTTCTCCTGAGACCCCTCTGGGAATCAGTTGACTGAAACGTCAAGCCCAGCCAGAAAAACTTTACCCAGTACTCCTGGAAGATCCATTTTAATCAGAGCCAGACCTGCTCACACCATATATTCTGCAAGCTCAAACCACAGGGCTGGAACCTGTACCCGTGCAGCCAGCTCAGGCTTCAGCATTTGTGTCACCAGCCCTGACCTCCACCTGGCATGACTTAGTGCTCATGTGTACCTACCCAGGTTGGCCAAGACAACAGAATTTAATAGGTTCCTGCTGTGAGAAATCATCCCTAGATATGGCCTACCTTTGATTATAATGGACCTGCATTTGTAGCAGAGATAATTCAAAAACTGCAGAACTATTAAAGATTAAGTAAATATTGTACAGCATACAGGCCATAAAATTCTGAAAGAGTTCCCTACAGGAACAACTTGTAACCTCTGCTGTGACATGCTATAACTCAGTTGAGTCCCTCATCTTCTAATCAAGGAGATTGTGGGGCCACAGAGGAAACTGATTCAACGATGTATAGTGTACCTAAGGAGAGTCATGAAGAGAGAAAAAAATCTCCCAAGATTTCACAAAAGGCAGCTTGATCAAGCAATGGCCATTACTCATCCAGATGGCTGACACTGACAGAAGAACTGAGAGGTACTATACTTGGTTCCAAGGTAAATCCTGAGGAGATTTAACTGATCTTGATAGATAGCAGAAATTGATTAGTACAGGTCTTGCTTTAACTTGGTCATAAACATCCAGCAGAAAAGTATAATCACAAGATGTGTAAAACAATGCTATAATAATGTTAGCTATAAAAAACTTAAATCACTAACAACTTTTGACAGTTGCCAGCTACCCTGGTAGCTGACCACTGTTATGGCTTAATGGACTGTATGGGGTAAACTTGCTGAACAGAGGTATCTAAAAATCTTTGGACTGGGAATTTTAGCCTAAATGAGGAAATTCAGTCAAAATGGAGAGGGTTCAAGAATGAGAAAGTCTTCTACAGAGCTCTCCACACACAGCTCCTCCAACATCAACTGACCACCCATCACTTGCAACTACAAAACAGAAAAGGGGCAGATTTAGGGAGCTGCTGAAGCCAGAAATCAATCATACATGTGAGGCTAAGACAAAGCTGACCCAGAGAACAGGGAGAGCTCCTGGAGTCATGTAAACAAGTTGTTCCAGCTTGCAAACAGATTGGTAAGCAGAGAAGTTGAAACTGACAGCAACCTCCTGAGTGTATAAATAAATACTCTGCAGTCTTTGGGCAGTTGCTTTCCTCCCATCTGGAGAGAGGGCTCCACCTGTGTGTGTGTGTGTGTGTGTGTGTGTGTGTGTGTGTGTGTGTGTTTTCCTTATTTATATTGTTTGATGTTTCTGTAATAGAATCTCAAAGAAACCATAGGTTGCTATTGTAGACTTGAACACTGGTCAGTTATATATTACTTCATATATAGCATGTAGAGATGATAGACTATTTTACTTTTTAAAAATACCATTAATTATTATTTGCCAACCCCAGAATCACATTAATCAGTGTGCTGATACTGTGGCTTGGAATATACTTTTTCTTGATTTAATATGCTCAGTTCCATGCTCTGCTTGCAGAAGGAAATTGAGGGGTTTAATTATATATGTGAAGAATAGATAAATGGCAAAGAAAAGACTTTCTTTCCCAAGAACCACAATAAACAATTGCAAATGTAAGATGAGAATATGACAAGAATAGCAAATAACAGTTTTCTGCATGTCCTTAGAAACTGAGGTGACTCATAAGCACAAGCCAGAGGTTTATCAGTGGTGAGCGAGCTCACAGAAGCTGCCAGTTAGATTCCCAGCTCTTAAATTAGAAATGTCATTGTGCTCCATAGTTCCTGGAGTGTGAAGGGAGCAGAAGAAAATCAAAATGAGGACTCAGAAAATATGGTTTTCTTTACACAGGATGATCTTCGAAACAGCTAAGTAAGAGAGTCCCCCCACTCCCCTGCTCCCCCTTTTACAGATCAGAAGTTTGAGCACAGCTTGGGCAATATAACAATTTAGAAGACCCTATCTCAAAATAGAAAAGCAAGGGGCTGTGGATGTAACTCCACGCAAAAGTCTTGGGTTCATTTCCCAGTTCTACTAAACATGTACTTAAGTTAATCAGTTGAAGTGAATATTGGATGGAAAGAACATAAATGTAAATGCTGTCTGAATCAAAAGACACAGGCAGAACTGGGAGGGGTGTGGATTCCTTAGGGAGGAGCCTGCTCCTGCCTGGAAGTGCCACATGAACAGGCTGAAACTGTAGAGGTGGCAGTGAAGACTAGATGCCAGGGCACAATCCTGGGAGAGCAATATTGACACCAATTTCCAAGCATCAGCTAAAGGTCACACATGAGCCACAAAGATGCTGATGCAAAAAACAACATCACAAGACTTCATCTTTCATTTCAAGGTAAATGTGTCGTGAGTTATTGGGACTGCTGCAGGTGGATGTCAAATTTTTTAAGGTAATTAGAGGTTGAAAGGATGAAGAAGGAAACAGGAATGTATGCATGAAGTCCAATGTTGAATTCAACGGTCTCCCTCAAGTTTCTACTGGTTGTAGTCCGCGTACTTCACAAGTTTTCCAACTTTTGTTATTTACTGATGAAAAGTAAACTCATAAAGGTGACCTAATGATTGAAGTTCAAATCTTTCAGTATAGTTTTATCTTCCCCTTTCCACGTGTTCTAAGGACAGCCTTTCCATATGAGGTATTACTACCATGTGAAAAGACTCTAAGGAATAATTAAATTGCAGTTGAAATTTTAAAAACTCTAGTGAGAAGCTTTGTATAAGAAAAAGACGGTGCTTTTCCTAAGTAGAATATTCTGGAAGAAGTTAGTGAGACTATTTGAAATTTTTTTGTAATATTTCAAAAAGATGTCACAGAATTTTTGACATAGGAAAAATGATTGAAATATAAATTTAATTGATGTTAGTCTCCAGTTACTAATGAAACTTTTAGAATGTTTCAGGAAGGTCTCAAATGCAGTACGTGAGGGTTGCTTCAGATAGCGTCATCCTGTTTCACCAATATAAGTCCCTTGGTGTCACTCTCAGACACACAATCTTGGGAAATCTCAGGTGGCAGTTTTTGTGCCACTTGGCATGTACTGTAGTCTCTCCATGGTTGTGAACCCAGATAATGTCTAACAAACAAGATTTATCAAAGCTGGGGTCATAACTGGGTGGAGGTGGGGAGGGATGAAAGAGATGACAGGGAGAGGGTAAGAAAGAAAATGTATCACCACTACTTACTGAGAACTATTTTGCATGCTGGTGGAGATAATAGCCTGTTCACTGTTAACTAAGAGATGTGTATGGAGATATAGACTGACTGAGATGCCTCTGGAAAACCAGGAAAAGATTCTAAATAGCAGCATAGAATTCTGAAGGACTCTCACTAAAAAAGTTTTTTTTTTAATTTTAAAGGAAATAAAAAATAAGACACAATAAAATGATATAGAATTTCAAAATAAGCTGTTAGTAAATTAACAATGGTTGTTATATCGCATATTGTTATCTTCAATATAGTTGCTCAGATACCAGATATAGACATGCAAAATTGATCAAACAATTATTAACTGTTCCTTTTAATAAACCAGTAGAAACCAGTAGTACAATTATCATAACTATCTTGTGTGTATTTTTTTTTTTTCTGAAAGGGGTTTCTTTTTAAGGAATGTTTCTTCTCACTTTTGTGTTAGAATATTGTGGAACTTTAGAGCTAAACATCTCTTCCTGCTTTCTTTGTGCCAACTTGGAATTTGATGAGCATGATGTGGCTGTAAGGGCAGCAGGTGACTGTTGGCCACAGTGGGGAATATGCATTTATCAGGTAAGACAGCAACTAGAGGAAAAATAGTACATGAATAATACTTTGTGTAGTGCTGGGACCGAAGTGTCATTTTAGAATCCATTAAAATTCAGGCTGTCTTGAGCTTGCTTTAGTAAACAATACAAGCTATTTGGGGGTGTGTAGGGGTGGGAATTCAGACTAAAAGATTAAAAAGATCTTTTCACTGAAAGAGGTTGTAAACTTCAGAGAATTCCTGCCAAACTGCTGCTGCTATGTTGTTCAGGAAGACCTGAAGGGGACCGGGAAGAAATCAAGTGTCCCAGCATTTCCCAGATGAAGGAGAATTGCACACACAGGGCTGTGACCTCTATTAGAGGCATTTTCAGTCTGATCTTACTACAGGAATGTTTTTGCCCAAATTTCTTTTCCAAGTGTTCCTAAAATAAGAGTAAGTGCTGTGTGTATTTTTTATGAATTATTCTATGAATTATGTTATGAATTATTTTATGAATTATTCTATATAAATAGTGGGTCTTTGGCATTGGTTGGTTACTCTTATTTCCTTCAACTATTCATAAGATACTTATGGAGCACCAGTGATGTGTCAGGTACACTATCGACGCATGCATATGAAGCCAGCATAACCACTGGCCTCTAGGAGCTCAGAGTCTGGGGAAGGAAACAGCCAAATAAAGAAATTGATCACATGCTTAGGAGATTGCAACCATACAGGCCCAATAAGGACAGGCTGTTCCTACAGAGCTCCACCCTGGGTGGTTGTTGGGAGTCTGATGTAGTTGCAATGGCTGAAAAGGGAAGTAGTGGGGTTCTTGGGGCATGGGAATGGGGACTTGGCAAGACTGTGGGCTGGAAAAATAGGAAGGAACCAGAACATAAATGTAGAAGTGGGAATTTGGACTAAATTTTGGACATGTGAAAAGTTTTAAGGAGAGCAATTATGGAACAAGTTGGTGAGAATGTGAAAGATGGTATGTAAAAGAAGGTTAGGCCAGCAGATTAGCTCTTCAGTACCAGCATCACCTTTGATGGCTAGAAAAAACAGTAAGAAACTTACTTTGGCGCACATAAGAATGCATATTCAACTGATGTACTTATGAGAACTGTGTATAAATTTTGCTTGTAAGTTGGATTATAATTTATTTTGTTTTTAATTTTTGAAAGCTAGGCAAGTGCTCAATCCATGAGCTACACTCCCAGCCCTTGTATTATGTTTTAAAGTCTCCAATGAAACTCTGAGAAGAAACCAGAGAAAACCTTTCAAAAGCACATTTTGAGTCCTTTTAAAGTGTGGTTTACTTTCAGCTTAATTTTTTCTTAAATTTTCATGGAAATCAATTTTCCTAAAGCAGGGTTCAGATGGGGAAAAGCAAAGCTGGAGCCCTTCAGGCCTAGAACTCCCAAGTAACTACTGTCATATCCAGTCACCATTCAAGAAAGGCACATACTTAGGGTACAAATGTGCTGGCAAAAAATACAAAACTCTGGATTTAGTGTATTTTAAAATTTTATTTAATTAGTGTTTTCAATGTAATTTTAAAAAGGTACTGTTTCACAATTTTTTTGTAGGGGGGAATATTACCAAAACCAATGTTCCAAACCAGGACTCTGTCTCCACACATTGTCTACCAGTAACAACAGGGACAAATCTGCAAGCTGACTTTTTCTCTCTCTTTCTCTGTCTTGTTTTTTGTTGGGATGCTGGTGGTTTAGTTTTTGTTTTTTGTCTTTTTTTCTTCTTCATTGTTGATCTTGTTTTTATAGGAGTGTGAAC